TTTTTATGCGGTGTACGTCAAAAAACGCAATTTATTACCAGAGTATTGAATAACTTTTAGGAGAGCTATGCGAGAAATTCGGTAGGGCTGTTTAACTTTATATCTTGAAATAGATGCAAAATGTAAATCCTGGAGGTCGAAAACCCGTAAAAAATTAACCAATACAATGTGAGTGTCTCGCCCAATATCTTCTTAAAGGCCATCAAACTCAACAAGTGGTAACTTAAGAAAGCTAACAGGCTAGAAACCTTTGTCTGGTACTCTTGAAAGACATAGCTCCAGATTGGATTGTGATTTGGTAACCTCTGGAGAAATTGCGCCTCTTGAATATTTTTTGTTTCCATGTAATCGCTGCAAGCCAATCCAGCAAGAAGCTTCTGCGCCAGTTCTGTGCAGTAAACTCTTCTGACTGGATGGATCCTAAACGCACGTTTCAAAAGTAGCGCGTTTTTCGGCTATTCTTACAGGTGTCTCAATACAATTATAGTCTTCATTGGGTCTTCCGCGGCTGTACAACTTCCTTGTTTAATGGAGAGTTGAGTTACAGCCTACCATAGGCTCACTAAGAAATATCAAATGCTAGTTTGAGCACTTAGTGAGGTAAAAGAAATTAAGAGGAATTGAGAGGGTCAGCAGAAAGTCAGCTCTCAAAGTCTCCTTCAAGTCTGGCATATCCGTTAATTCCAGAGTTTGTCGAAGACCCAGTTGTTACGGGACTTTTGAAGAGCGTCAGGGCGATTCAGGAGAGAGGCTGTTTTAGAGCAGAGACTTTCGAGAGCCTACCAATCGCATTGTGAAATGTTCGTACCAATATCAACTATTATGTACTTCATCTCAGAAGCGACAAAATACAAAGACCATAACGCAGACCGACTCATTCTTAGCAATGTGAAGTTAACTCATTCATTATTTTCTCAGCGAGAAAGAGAGCAGGAGTTCGCACATAAAGCCACAAATGAATCTATGGAGCCTTTCTTAACCTGTATCATCTTTTCTACATTGCTTTCGTCAAATTCTTTGCTCTGATGTTTTTTGTTGAGGAAAGTTGTCTAAATAAAATAGCATAGTTGATACTCATGTTCGACCTATAAATCCATTTACCACAGCTATGTCAATTTGATGACCACTGTATTTTTGTGCGCTGAAACAGATGTGCTGAATCCTGTGACTACAGAACACCTACAGAAGCTAATAATAATTCAACTGACGAGGTATACTTGTTTAGTCGAAATGGTCTTTTTGGATGGGATTTATACTATATTGTAGGATGAAATGCTGCCAAATCTGCCTTCCCCATCTGCAGAGCGTTTATAAAGGAAGAGTTATGAGCGCTTATCGGAGCAAAAAATTGAATGTGCAACAAGGACAAATATAGCTGTAATGCTTTTTTCTGGCTCTTCAATGAAACAGTATTGATCAACAGAGCACCTTATTTAGAAAACGCTTTAAAATAAAAAATATGCCAGAGCTGGTTGCATTATTTGAAGGCTACCAAAATTTTTGCAACCCATTTTATCCAAAATGCGCACTCAATTTTTGACTTCGAAAAACGCTCATAACTCCTGTCCATGAATTTTCTGCAGATAAGGAAGACAGCTTTGGAATCAGCGTTCTATGCCCTTTGATATGGTATACATCTCACTTAAAAGGGCCACGGTTCCATCAATATTCTATTATCAATCCTCACTTCACTCAGGTCATATTTTTCTCCTATATATGCATATTTTTCCTGCTTTCCTGACGTTGCCATTACATGCATTACACACTGAATACTTTGCTCTTTTTGTATTACTTTACTGTGCAATCTCAAAGCTAAGCCAATTTTTTCTGCTGTTTACTCGTTCTTTATCTTTGTGCATTCATTCGTGTTTTTTCTTTTGATGTGTATCAAAAGAAAAACATCCTTGATGAACCTGCAAGTCCAACTTGTTGAAAGTATTGAAGGAAAAGCAATCAACAGAATAGCTGATGACTGTTGAAGACCAATAAGTGTAACTATTTCATACCCAATCCTTTCATAGGTTCTGAACCGCACGATTCGAATGGCTCTCTATTGCCAACTTGTTGCATGCTTTCCCTATGTACAGTAAGTTTCAACTCAGTCTAGGCGGAAATTGGACCGGCGGAAGTCCGCTTTGCAACGATTCGCACCACTTTGCAGTCTGCATCTCTTCAGTTTAATCTATCTCGCTGAGGCAGTGGCAGTTCAGACGCGCTGCTCCACTTGGAATGTTCGCTTACTTTGGGTTGAAAAAGACTGTACCGGCCGTGCGGATACCGGCTGGTCCGTCGTGTGGGTGCCGGCTGGTGGCCGCCTGGCGATATGCTGGCGAAATGTCGGCGACGACCAGCCGGCAGCCGTACAGCCGCTAGTCGTACATTAGAAAAGTGTCTGATTATTGGGTGGCGGTTGGCTGCATTTGGACACTCATGAACGCGAGATTACGACAAATGTTGCGCAGCAAAATGTTTTTTTTGTAAAATATGGGGAAGAAAAGGAATATGGACAGCACTATCTGATTCATTTGCTTTGGTGCACGAGATTTACGCTTAAGAGCGATAAGAAGCTATGGACTTATCCGTTGCAGTAACTCAATGTTACCAGTATTGATCTGTTTAGTCGCACGTGACGATGTGATGGCAAGATATAGAATAAGTATTGAGGAAGTGAACATGGAATGTGCGAAGAATTCTCAAAATGCAATGACCAAAGATCAAGATTAAAAGATCTGTCATATCCAATGATGGTGCTGCCGGAAAAGTGCCGAGAGGTGTAATTACGCGAAGGGAAGTCAAAGGAAATAGGAAATTTTGCGAACCTGTTGCGCATGGGGAGTACTACATGAGTAATTGTTTATTTACTTTCGCGAGAACTTTTATTACATATCAAAGGACAAAAAATAAAGAATTCGGCGTCTTCAGTAGCCTCTGCGGGCATGCGCCGAACGCGCACTACTTCATAATCGAAGAGGCAACAGTATGCGTGCGAGCCCAATACAGTGACTTGCAGGGGCCAGCCGCTCACCAAGTCAGTGTCTTTTATCCTCCCAGATTACTCTGGTATCAATTTACCGGTCTGGGTAGAGAACTTGGTTGGCCCAGGGACGGGGATCGAACCCGTGTCCGATCTGGTCATAGCGACCGTGCTCTCTGATCATTCAACAGCCTTGATTAGGTTTCGAAACTCCGTCTTCCAGCCGCCAATCCCGTCAAAGTAAACATTACTAAATCTGGCTTTTGTCATTTTTCTCACTTTTTCGGTCTAACAAGGGAAGGAGAAGGATACTAACTTAGATTTGCCTTTTAGGATGAGGCACATATATTTGAAATCAGCTTTGAACGCTGATTCCAAATATGCAGCCTCTAGCTGCTTAACATGATTCCGGAGCGAGTTATGGGCTTGATGTTGTGAGTAGTTAGCAAACTTCCGAATGTCGTAAGGAGGCGTGTAGATAAGAATCTGCTCGAAAAAAGTACTAGGATGTTAAATTAGCATCAGATTAATTCTTTCGACCTTGAAAGGTAGCATTATACAATTATAAAACCACCTAGACGTCGACATCGTAGCATCAGTAAGTCAAGAAGCACGCAAACTTTGCATAGAAAAGAGGCCACAACTCGCTTGAGAATAATGCTAAGCAGCTAGAAATAGCATACTTAAAATCAGCCTTCCAGACTGATTCCAAAAATATGTGTTCCATCTCAGAAGGAGAATCTAAGTTAGTATCCTTTCCTTGTAAGAAACAGTGTACCCAGCGACTTTATAGCCGTGAGCAGAACACTATCGAGGTTGTTAACGGGAGAAAGTGTGACGTAGGATGGTGACGACCAATGTGACTCTTAGCATGGCTTGGAAAGTAGTAATAGAAGTACAAACTATTCGTAGTTATTCTCTGTTTATGGCTGCGGGGAGGGCGAAGCTTCGATCGCTAATCAAGTTGAAGAAATGACTGTAGAGCATGCTAACGGGAAAGATGCAAACGCAGAGCCCATCCATCTCCCGCCGCTCCCATACAAAGGGTACGTCCGCCTAAAATTTCCTGCGTATCTGCCCTCAAAATTTAATTATGGTTCTATATCAGTGTATAATGATGGGGAGATAGGCCGAAAAGGTTTTGGTACTTTGATAATTCCTGCTGCTGACATCCGAAGCCACTTCAGTCATAATTTTTCATACTAATGCAGATTCACTTTGAGCAATCACAGTATACTTCAGAACGATTTCCGTGTGCTACTACAGACATAGGTACATTATTTCAGCAACTGTTACACTATTGGGGGCCAAATTGTGAGTGGTCCGCGATAAAGTACTCAGTACTACTGTACGAAAAATTCTTTTTAAGGGTATTAATTTGATTTGGTTCCGAGGATTTATTGGTTGGCGTCGCTTGTTTCTGAGGAAGGCCCGCTAAAATGTGGAGCTTTTGATAAAAATTCTATTAGGCAAATATGGTCTTTTTGGATCCACGAGCTTTGTGCTATCAACGCGTCATTTGCGTTTTTGGGAATTAGTATAAAGATTACAAATAGCACTCAAGGTTTGTGCCGCTATTCATGCGCCACGTGGACCTCAGATTTGATATGAAAATAAAGAAAGCGTACAGTCTTCCGCTGTCTTCCACTCAAAACATCTCTCAAATAAATAAAGAAGACGGTAGGCGAAGCTTGAATATCAGGCTGAGATAAGTTTGATTTTAAATGCTTCCTTCCACTCAAACGAATGATAACAGTAAATAGTATCATTGAAAATGCAGGACGTTTGATCGCGATTTATTCCTCTTATGATCATCAAGAGTGATACAATTTTGAATAGGGTATTGTATGAAGCACAATCTTTTCTCCAAAATTCTATACTATCACAGGTCAGTGACATGAGGTCAAGGAGAACTATTCCATATGTGATTCGCAGAAAGTACTAAAAAGGAATAACAGAAATATTGGATAGAACAACGCTACGTCTACGCTGAATTCCAGGTCAATAAACGATTGCACGAGTTCATCTACCACGTCTTATGATCCCACCCTATTGCGCCGCAGCAACTTTTCGTTCGAAAAAATTCGCACGCTTTCCTGTGCAATTGAAACTGGTTATCTTGAAGATATTTCGGAATCACTCTTACCTTCGTTCAACAGTAAGGATTAGATATTCTTTGGAAACGTAAAATTTATTAAACCATCTTTAAACTTGTTAAGAAAACTTGCAATAGTTGATTTAAGGAGCTTTTTAAACGCTGCCCATTATAGTTGCAAAATATTGCCAATTTCTTGTAAAATGCTGGAATGTATTCTTATATTAAAATTCATGTCGAACTTGTCAGGAAAAAAACTTAAGAACATGTCAATTTTTTGAGCTTTATCAGGAGGATCAGCACTCCGCACTCGGTATATAGGGTGACAGCTTGTGTTTCAAACTAAACACCTGAATTTGCGGTAGTACTCGGCAACTGTTTTGGTCGAAAAGTACGTCTCCCTCTTACATCGCCTCCCTTTTGATGAGAGAGTACTGCAAGTCCGCTCTGAAAATGTCAACTGGACTGGTTGTTCAGAAAGAAATCAAAAAAATTTCTTACTCTTCTTGACGATACCAAGTGAAGGCATTCCAAAAATAGAAGAGAGATCAATGAAAATTTCAAGCCATTCATCTAAATTAAAGCTTTTGAATTGAAAGTACACAGATGTTTTGTGTCTTATTCTTTCAATCTCTAAAGTTCTGTTGGAGCATCAGAATCAAGTTTTATCCGTGCTGCCAGATTATGCAGCTGCGACACTGTGCCCTGATAAAGTGCTCTGATATGCAAAAGTCATGCCGCACAATCGTACCAACAGCTCATAAAGAAAAAAGTAATTGAAATGGATGAGAAAATGGCGACACAATACGATTGCGATCAGTCACGCATATCTTAGGCTTATATGCGATGCTATTTCCGCAAGGCAAAAGCCCAGAAGCATGAACTATTGGAAAAGACATGTGGTCATGTGTAGCCGTTTTTCCAACACACCAATGGCAGAAATACTCAAAGGAACTGAGGCCCTGTTTTGTTTTACTTTCAGTAAATCAGAAATGGCTGAAAACTTTGAGCTTTACTGCAATATTACAATTGCTCGTTAAGCATGTAAAAAACTGTGGTAGCCATACTGAGATGGGGGTCGTTGGAGCCGACCGAAACACTTACATGCCATACTTCGGTTCAGAGTGGATTAATTCTAAGTTCATGGGCACCATGCATCCCAGCTCAGTAAGAAACTCTTTTGGTATGGATGTGATGGTCTTTGGGTCGTAAAGCGGGTACACGATGAGTATATGTTTTTAAAGTTTTCTTCGGATTTTTGATCAGATGAACTACCCTTTAATGTCTACGCTGATCCAACTGGTATATGTTAGGTGTAATGTCGATTTGATCGCATTAGTTGGAACGTAAACTTAATTCTGAGACTAATTGTATCTGTAAGAGTGAGTATGTTGATGCATAGCACTTGTTCATCTGTATACGGTTGGTTTATTTCCCTATCGTTAATGTGTTTGCCATAAGGTAGCTTTAGGCCTCAGTCAGATTTCACGCGATTTCATCGTCGCGATTCATCGCGACAAAACAAGTGTTACGAGTCCATTGCGCGCCGGTCTTCTTTTATTTCGGTTGTGATAGTTATTCACGATTAGTCGTGTTGGAAAACTATCAGAACCGAAATGCGAGAAGAACGGCATGCAATGAACTAGTAACACTTGTCTTGTCGCAATGAATCGTGACGATGAAATCGCGTGAACTCTCGCCCGAGGCCTTACGCGCGCTGTACTCAAAGAAACTCAGTGTCGTTTGAAATTAATGTATCCACATTATTCTGTAATGGATTTTGGTTTTCTTCCGTTAGGTCCCACTTCTTAAAAAGTATACTACTTCTTTCTTCCTATTGTACCCAATGTCAAAAGAAGAGATGTCAATTTCCCATTTCTTGCCAAAAAATCTACGTGTCTCTACATTTTAACGGGTAAAAACAAGAGTTTGTGTGCCTACCTACCAACGTGTTCAATTTTCTAATCAAGAAGCAATTACTCTTAATTCAACAACTTTGAGAATGAGCATTGAATTGCAAAAATGTTAACCTGTTTTCGAACATAATAAACTTTACCAGAACGAGAAGTGCGCTAAGGTTTTCTTATATAGAAGGCGAATAGGCAGCAACGTATCGTCGATTCGTTGACCGCACGGACTGCTCATACACTACGGCCAAGCGCGGCGCGGCTGAATTATCGCGAGAGCACGACTTGTACAATGGCGAATTCGTACTGGGACGAGCGATTTACCTCGCAGCGCGTACTCCGCATTGATGTTCAGTCCGTGAGGTCAACGAATCAACTACACTTCAAGCCAGCATTTTGATTTTTTTACATCCGGCGAAAACATTGCTGAAAGCGATAAAGTTGTCATGATGATTGTTTTGGATTGTTTCGCTACCATAGAAAGCTGAGCAGCTCTTCATTCGGATGACCAAAAATGATTTAAAAAAGAAACATGTGATGAGAATTGAACGTTTGTTTGTCCCTGCCAATGGCAGAGAGGAAGTTACGTAGAATAAGGAGAAAGTTTGCTAGACTAAAGCACGCATCCCCACTAAAGTCCGCCGCCTTAGCATGGCGTGGGGTGGCTTTGGGCGTTTTTGCAATTTATAGCCGAGTGTATATTCTGGTAGGGCTCTCAAGCTATGAAGGAGTTCGACATTTCCGATTTTTACCAGATGCCTAGCTAAGAGAGGAGGCCGATCTTCGGGTTTATCTGATCGCCAGGGGTCACCGCTTCATATCCGAAGTCAGCGATCGCCCGTGGAAATCGAGAGTTAGCCTGATAAGTCTGCTCTTGTAGGGAAAATTCCTACTTCGATTAGCAAAAAGAAGAGAAATAAGCCCTGCACATCTGATGCCGCTTACGGCGCCGGGTGGTAGCAAAGCGATATTAGGGTACTCAGGGTCGACACGTCTACCCGGCGATACGCCATGGAGACTGCTGCATGCTTTGCAGCGTGGTGAAAAGCAGATCGACATTTGTGCCTCGCCCCCGTGCCAATCCCAGAACAATAATTTCAAATTTGAGAAATTACGTTGAAACCAGTGAACTGATATTTCTACAAACGGCTGTCTTATCCGTATTCTGCATGATTTATTAATAACCAAAATAGCCTATGACACCCGCCCCATCCGCAGGGCATATTCAGTTGGAACACACACGCGCCCACACCCACACCCGCACCCACACCCACACCCACACCCACTGCCATTTGACCAAAATTACACGATTATCATGTCAGGAAGTGATACGCATCCAGATCGATAGCTCACCAGATGCCGGACTGAAGCGTTGTAAGTTCAACTGAAGCCCCCTAGCCGAGTTACCCTAATTGAGGGCTTACTACAAACCATGGTCATAAATACTCGCACCAGCTTCGGTCACCGCAAGTTTGAAGAACTTCAAGAAGTTTGGAAAAAAATCGAAAAATTCCTTTTTTCATTCGAAAAAGTCCTGCAGATATCTTAACCGCTCACGCATGTGCATCAGACAATCATATATGCTGCTGCCAGTGGCGTACCGATTTCGCGACCCATTCTCGGGGGGGGGCCCCCCCCCCCGAGAATGGGTCGCGAAATTTTTGAAAGTTACTTATATGGGTTATAAAAATGTGCAAGTGACTTGTTTATTTTTGTAAATAATTAAAATAATTTTTAAAAATTTTTAAAAATTCAAATTAGCCTTGTAAAAAAAAATTTTCGGGGCGTGGCTGACGCCACGCCCCCTTTTTCCAGATTTTAGGGGTCGGGGACCCGCAAAATTTTTGAGAACCACCCCAAAAATTTTTCGGAGTGCGTGGCTAACGCCACGCACCTTCTTTAGAAAAAAATTTTTGTCGCCCCCCCCCCCCCCCGAGCCGAAATCCTGGGTACGCCACTGGCTGCTGCTGAGTTCGACATAAAACCTCAACACCTTATTATTAATCAGATACAGTGATATATATATAATGCAAAGTTTTGAGAAAAGCCAAAGCATGCGCCTATCAAGTAGATTTTATTGACAGAAATCTCACTCATCTTGTTAGAAACATGGTACACTTATGAACTTTTTCTAAATTGCCTGTTCAAGCGCATGCATAGTGATAATTTATCAATGAAAAATATCGCATGGATATAGAAGTTAAAGGCAGCGTTTAGGATATCTAAACCCCTCCGATCAGTATCTAGCCTGGTAGGCCACAGGCAAGAAGCGCCTGCTTCCTGCTTTGGTCCGGTCTCCAATGTGGTCTCCGAATGGAGAGAATAGATCTGAAACCCACGGAAGAGCTTCCAAGCTAAGCATACCCTATCAAGTTCGCCCACCCAGGCACGGAAACTCGTCTGCTCTGCTTTCATGATAGGGTTTTCTCACAAATCATTCTGATATTTTGTATTAAAGCATCTTATTTGAGGACAGCACATCGTTTTGGTAGTGACATGAAAGTTTGACTTTTGTCTAGCAGAAAGAGAACCCAGCAGGCTATCAATGAATGAATGAAAAAATACCATTCATTTATCTAGAGACTAATGCACTAAGCAGCGTGTTTGTTTATTTGTTTGTGTGTAGGTGTGCGCAAGTACAGAGATACAAACTGAGTACAAACTAACCTATGCACCGCTGTATTGATGGGTCGATCGGCAACCGCACAAAGTAGACGACAACAGTGAATAACGCTCAGCGGGACCATCTTTATATATGCGCAGGCAGTATCTCTCAAATCGATAGCGATGGCAAGAGCTCGATTTCGATAAACCTCATTTTTTGTTATTCACGCTTGAATTTTGATGAAAATCACCCTCATCATATGCTTTCCCAACGGTAATAGCACATTCGCTTGCCATTTCTCTTCGCTAAATGCCTCTTAATTCTTAATCGTAATTCAGAATTCTCATCCGTAGCGTTAATACAATGTTACGAGCGAGATAGGGAGCGTTTGACGAAATCAAACAAATGTGTTACCACCATTTGGAAATCATAAAAAAGTAAGCAGGTGATGACAAGATTTTTAATGTTATATTCAACATATTAGGTACGATTACAGCACGAAATCACTATGGAAGCAGCAAAGATTTCTATCCAGAATTCGAGCGTAAACAACAAAATGAAGTGTATGTATATATTAGGTTGGCTCGAAAGTTCTGGGACATTTTCGGACTAGATTTGCTACTTCTCGAGACCCAATGCATGGACATCCTCGAAAATTTGCGGTTATGCTCTCCCTCGCCTGTAGCTGGTATTTAAGCAATTGGGAGGAGCCTAGGACCAAAGGGGGCGGAGTTTGCCACTTTTTAATCACCTCGATTTTCTTGTTGTTTAAGCTTAAATTCTGCACAAACTGTGATTGTAAGTATATAAGTATGTTTGTACTATAAATTGGAGCATGCGGGGATTTCAGAACGTTTATAGAAGTTGGAGATCTGGGTTAGGTCAAAATCCTATGTTTTGGAATTTTCGCCCGAATTTCCACAGAAAACATTGATGTTGCTTTTGCTTACCATAGTTCTGTAGAGATTGCTTTCCTCTATTTAATGGTGTGCAACATGCCCCAATTAATGCGTACATCCAAACAAAAACTCTGTCTAAATGCAATGTATGCCCCAATTAATGCGTACATCCAAACAAAAACTCTGTCTAAATGCAATGTAACAGAGAGCACACCCAATAGTATGGTGTATGTATGAGTGTGTGTATGTGCGTAGAACAAGTGAGAAAAGCTGAATTCGGTATTTTTCGAAAACTAGCGCTTGTGAAAAGCTGAAAATCTATGGCTATACTTCTAAGGGCCTATAGTATGCAACTACATGAATAGAAACAGCATAGCTTCGTTTTTGTACAGGCATGAAAATTTTCGTTCTCTCGATTTCTAGGTGGGGAAGAAATACAGCAACTGTACTTATGAGTGTCCTATGTAGTGTGCAATCATATGTGCAAGTTGGAAATCCGTAGCGTTTTTTAAAAACAAAGATATGAGTTTTTCCTAAATTTTTGGGCCTTTAACTCACATTCCGGATGGGCCAAAGTTGGAGTGAACTTTAATACATCATGTTGTAAAGCCTGTTTTGCTCATCAAATGGTACCCTAGAGCTTCATTAAAGTTATGAAGTTTACGACTTATCGTCTAAGAATTTAAAGTGTAATAAGACTTATGTAACGATCTGGTATTTCAATTGCCCCTTTTGTAAGCTTCCTGATGGTATACAGGAAATTATATGAAAAACTTGTGACTCTTTAAAATTGGGGTGAAGATGTTTATTGCTAGCTTGCTCACTCCAGCCCAATGGCTTGGCTTTCAGGGTCGTCAGAGCAAAACTTGAAAAGGAAAATCTTGTGCATCAACAGTTGATAAACCATTGGACAGTTAGAAACATAAGAAATCAACCTAGATTGCTTCGTTTCTGTTAGCTTTTTTAAGAAGCGAATTATGAGCAATTTTTTCAACTGTCAGATTATCTCGTAAGTCCGTCTGTTTTGATTTTCAATCGCAATAAATCAAGAACTTCATGTTTCTAGATAGGTTTCAAAATAGAGCAAAGAAGCACTACAAGACGATTATCTCGCTTTTGCACCAGCTCTGATCCAACACGAATTTGAAGCTTAAAACTCAAAAGATTCAACTGCCCAAAAGATTGAGAAAAAATCATAACTCTCAAAAAATTCCTACATAAATTCTAGCTTGCTGGCGTAAACACTATCCATTTAAACCGGGAAATAAAAACGAACAGCATATGTAAATTTCTTAGATGGATAGTGTTTAGGCGAGTAAATTAGAGTTTTTGTAGGGTTTTTAAGGGGAGTTATGAGTTTTTCTCGATTTTTCGGGCAATTATTAGGTTGTCCGGAAATTAATGCCCGTTTTGAATTTCAACCGCAATTAGTCATACACTTCTCATTTCTAAGTAGGTTGCAAAATAACATTCGATAGAGCAAAGTAAGCTCTACCAGATGGCTATCTTGCTTTAGCAATAGCTTTGATCCACAACGAGTTTCGCGCCAAAAACTAAAAACATTCAAGTGTCCGAAAAATCGAAAAAAATCGTAATTCAGTTCATAAAAATCCTACAAAAATTCTTACTTGCTCACGTAAACACTATCCACATAAAACATCTATATACGCCTCTGCCGCATTTTTTTCTCTGTTAGAAATCAAGGAAACGGAAATTCTCATGCATTTGCCAAAGTGATGCTGTGCCGTTCCCACATAAGTAGTTCTACACTACAGACCTGTAGAAGTACAATCGTAAATTCTCAGCTCTCTACAAGCTTTAGTTCTCGAGAAATTTGAATTTTAGCTTGAACCACCTAACTAGGGAAAGCTATGTTCGGTATTTCTCGAAAACTAAAGCTTGTAGAGAGCTGAAAATTTGAGTCTGTACCCCTATGGGCTTGTGGTGTACAACTACCTATATGAGAATGGCTCAGCATCACTTTGGCAAATGCACGAAAATTTCCGTTTTTTTGGTTTCTAACAGAGAAAAAAATGCGGCAAAGGCGTATATAGTGTTTTTTGTAGATAGCGTTTACGTGAGCAAGTAAAAATTTTTGTAGGATTTATATGAACTGAATTACGATTTTTTTTCGATTTTTCGGGTTGCTGAGTCTTTCTAGCTCTTGGCTCGAAACTCGAGGTAGGTGAGAGCTGTTGCAAAAGCAAGAAGGCCATCTTGTAGAGCTTGCTTTGCTCTATCGAATGGTACTCTGCAACCTATGTAGAAATGAGAAGTGTATGACTTATTGCGGTTGAAATTCAAAACGGGCATTAATTTCCGGACAACCTAATAAATCTTTTTAGTTTTCAATTTGAAACTCGACGTGTATCAAAGCTGTACAAAAGCAAGAAAAGCATCTTGTAGAGCTTGCTTTGCTCTATCGAACATTATCATGCAAATTATTCAGAAACGAGAAGTGTATGACTTACTGCTGTCAAGATTCAAAACGGACGGAATTTATGGAACAACCTGATAAATTATAGCTAAATTTGTGTGACAATCTTATGCTTCATTTTTGAAACCGAAAAAACCTTAAAACTTTAGATAACCCGAAAACTTTGAAGCAAATAACTTGACTGTCATTTTTACTGTCGTCTTCAATGAAAAAGTGTGGGGATATTGTTATGAATCATTGTCCACACCAGACTTCCTACTCTTATTTGATTCTTTCCTTCGACAATGTGTTTTTAGACTGCTTGGCTCTCATCAATCGCATATTATCATCAAGAGAAAGCTTGTGTTTTGTAAGACTATAAGTTGAAAACCTAGTGTGCCAATTTTATGCTCAGAAAATTTTTTGTTGAGGCAACCTAACTTCCCGGTAGGCAACCAAACTTGGTTGAGTCATTTGTACTGCGCCAACTATTCCCTTTCTGTCGTAGCCGTAAAAAGTAACGTCGCTTAGCTGAAGTTGCGCAATTTCGCGTTCCAGATTTTGTGGTAAAATGAACTCCTCTCCCTTATCGCTATTTTTCAAAGCAGTGATTTAAAACTATCCGTGCTTTTCCTTATCCGGATGCTGTTTCGACAAGGATACCGCCTTTTTTCTTGTAAAGGCTGCTGCATGACGAAGGCGCAAGCAGTATTAGTTGAGAGGGCGCGAACCCGGCGCGCGCGTGTCTTTACCCTTGTAAACCCTGCGCTTCATGTGCTTTGCGGTAATAAAGCCGCGTTCGCGCCCAAAGCTATATCGCCTTCTCGGAAGTATCAAAAAAATCTGATATGTCATTCACGGTTCAACGAATTTTACCAAGTAAAATATAAATATCATTATAAGTCAGTCTGTTCTTTATTCGACAATGAGCCAAGTCAAAAGTTTCATGAATGATCTTCAACATTATCAAAATCTTTGACGTTCAATACACATTAGGTTTTCCAAAAACAGAGAAAAGGGCTATTCCTTTACCATCAAACTGCGACACAGTCGGCAGCCAAGTACTTTAAGCCATCGTTTACATTCTCTATCGGTTAATGGCAGAAGAAGAACAGATTTCTTTGAATCATTGCTGGAATCTACAAAGACGTTTTGATGAGCGTTTGAAACTGTTTTGCTTTTGTAAATGTTCCCTGAACCGCATTAGAGGAATTTCAAATGCTCTCATACCTCACTGGAAATGATTTTGGGGAAACATATCAAACTGGTTTCAAGCGTGTTAATTTTTATATTGACACGTGTTAAAGAGACGGTCTTTACAAGATCTATGAAAAAACGAAAAGTACCTAACTATCTCCTAAGAGGTATAGAAGTGACAGAGAAGTGTTCAAAATAAAAACACATGGGACATAATATGATCCGTTTTGCGATACATCCTCCTCTGACCGTTCTAATTTAGCTGTACAGTCTGCCCCAATCGGGATCAGGCCGAACCGTCAGCTGAATTTGCGCGCTCGCAGCGCTAGGGGATTGCGCTGCATACGCGCGCTGTCGCAGAGAGTGAAGAGATCGAGGAGAGAGCAGAATAGCTAGCCGCAGATGTGGCGCGAAACCCTCGCGGCGCGGACTCCCGCCATGCCGATTTTGGCCTGGTTAGGATTGGGGCAGACTGTAGATGTTTGTGACCAAGCTCGGCGGCATTTTTGCGCTGCGCAGGTATGCCATCAAGAACCTTTTGCGTATCTAAAACAAAACTTCAAAGTCTTTGTCTAATGACTCTTTGTTCTTCCCTGCTTACTGCACTCAGTTGAAGACTTATTTCTTGAAGCAAGGAGAATCCAATGACCTTCAACTGATTTGACACCGAAAGCCTGTGAATATAGTTGGAGGGCGTTGCAACGGTTGGAGAGCCCAGAGTCATTAGTCAAGATAATATGCTTGCTTGGTGCGCGAAAACGATGCAAATAGAGAGAAAAATGTC